CAAAAGGAAAGTGATGAAGTTGCCTCCTGGGCATGACTTTAGAGGCCACGAACAAAAGTGAACTTACCGAAAGCGGCACTGTCCGTGACCTGCTCCGAGGCTCCGAGGACAACGTTGGTTCCTAGAGATGGCAGCTTGCAAGGCAGGTCCCACCGATCCACTCTGCGGGGAAAACCAGTTTTAACAAGTCAGTGCAACATGTCCTTGCATTTCCCACACCTCCTGCCTACCAGGGCCGTGTCATCTGAACACCCAGCCAAGTCCCCAGCTTGGCCACTCTTTTTTAATTAAAACTTGCAATTTATTTGACTACAAATATAAATTACTGCTTCCCCTTGTAACCTGTGATCTGCCAATGAGGGTAAAAACCCTAACTTTAAAGGCTCAAACAGCTGCAGTGGGGACTATAAAAGACCAAGTATTTTTCTCTGCAAGGTCCATTCCCAGCAGGAAACCAGATTTTTCACTAATTTTGTTAAACAAAACCGTCTGAAAAATCTGCATCAAAACCTCCTGCATGTTTTGTGTTTGGTTTTGCTCTCTCGATGTTTGCCGCTCTGCATGATTTGGGCTGTTACCTGCTAAAAAAAACCACAGAGGCTGACAGCTTCAAAAGCAAAGAGCCCACAGGATTTCCTAAGGAAAGCGTTACCAGCTGCACACTTTCAACTCGTGAAATTTAGAGAAGGGCCAAAAATGATCACGGACTCACCTCCACTAACGCTATCTGGTCCTGTCTCCAGACACAGCAAAAGGCATCTCCACTTCTTGCCCTTCGTCATGCAAAAAATCAATTGAAACAGCAAATAAAGCTACAAACAGGCAAGAGAGGCTACCAACAATTAATTAAAATTGATGACATCTCTAATACAGCACTTTGTCTTCATCTCTTAATGTTTTTGCAAGCCAGAGTTTAACAATTTAAAATTATTTCGCATTTAAAAGTGAGAAAGACGACCCTCTCTAAGGCAAGAAAGGAGAACAGATTCACATCCACGAGCAATTCACCATCTGCAGCCACACAGTAAAGAACACACGTTTTTCTTCAAAATTTTATTTCAATTTAAATTATGGGGCCAGCCAGATTATTTTTTTTTGGGGTAAGAAACGCATTTTCCTCAGGAGAAATGAAATGCTATCATGGAAGGAGAATTACAATTGTACACATCTCTTATTTAAAAAACAAACAAACAAAAAACCCCCACAAAAAACCGCAAGGCAAACCAAAAGCCCGCTCACATTTAAATAACTTTTAGTAATACCCTTAAGCCTTCAAGCAGATAAGAAATCACTTCCGGAACAAAGTTTTTTAATACGAAGAGCACGTCAAATGAGCTTTAATTTAAATACAACTTCTTCTCGAAAGTCAACATTCAAATGTTTCCACATATTAAAAAAGTCACCATAGCCATTCTTTCCCAGGCCTAATAGAGAGTAACCTCTATCCCAGCCCAAATGTTTTCACTTCTTTACATATATAAATCTTTAGCACGTCCATGTTTTTCAAAAGAGGAAGCCTCATATGTTATGGTGAGTAACTTGGCAAATAATGCTTTCCTCCACTCAGCTACAAGCCAAAATATAACAGACTGTTAGTACTGAACTCTAATACTGCCTCATAGCCAATTCTGCCTGCCTGTGTAAGTGGTCTTCAGTAAGAGTAAGCTGCTTTCTTTCCTGTAGGCAAAATGAATTGGTTTGCAAGGGACAAAGTTAAGAACCTAAAGAATCATCACGTGAAGAGCAATTTTAAACACCCGAGTGAAAACACTCGGTTTTCTGGAGCTATCTGCCTACCCTGGTGAAGGCTTTCAAATCAGCATAAACATCACTTAGGAGTTTCATATTGCTGACTGCAAAATACACTTTAATTAGGAAGAGGACAGGAAGCAACATTTTCTATGGCATTCTCAATGGGATTCAGCCATGCAGAATTTGAACTTTCAGACTCCAACCTGCACGTTCGCTTGGTTGCGATCTTAGCGTTCCCATCCGATGGCAAGATACAATTTTAAGAACATCATTTAGCTCTATTTAGTAGATTTGTTTTGTAAGGTCACAGTAACAAAAACATGGTGCAAAATCAGTTGGTTGGTTTTTTTTATAATAAATACTGATAGTTTGCAGCATTAAAGAACAAAATCAACAAAATTAAATCATGTTGTTACCCTAGGACACCTGTCAAACTGGTTCTTGAAGTCAGAGGGAATTAAATAATTCACTTTCTCGACTACTGCACTGAGTTATTTACTGTAAGAAAGAAATGATGCACTGCAGGCTCCCCCGAAGTAAAGGGAATCGCTATTAATTTCGCATAATCTTTGCCATTTGCAGACCTGGTGAGCACAATGCTAGCTTCATTGAGTAAGGCCAATGTTATCCAGTAAGAATGTAGTATAAAGGGTTCCAGTTCTCTATTTCAGCCTACTCTAAATGATGGCACCCCATTAGATAAGTGAATACAAAGAATTTGTTTGGTTGGTTTTCCTTTTAATGCTGCAGTACTTAAGATTGTTAAATCAGCATTTCCATGTGATCCGAAGTATTCAATTACATATGAGCATTCATTTTGCAAAACTCAATATTAGGTAATAGTTACAGACTAATACAATAACATTCCTCTGCTGTACAAATTAAATCATATTTTAAAGAAATGAGCAGCCTAGGAGTTATATACAAAAGAAACCAGCAAGCATTGTTGAAATGAAATGCAAAATGTCACTGCTAGGTCTACTGTCTGAAATACCTTTAAAGTAAAATTAACAAAACCCCTTAGAACATATTTCCAAGTTTACAAGTCAATTCTCAGAAAAATCAAATTATGTAAAAAAAAAAATCCTATAAAGCAGTGAAAGGCATATATACATTTTCCTTATGAACCTTGAGATTTCACTCTTGTAAAAGTTGCTAAGTTTCAATATCAGTTTATTTGCAAGACAACTGTTAATCCCAATAAGCTCACATCTTAGATACATTTCCCCTTTGATTACAAATAAAGCACTGCACATTTTTTTTTTTTATTAATCAAGGCATATAATCTTATACTACGGTGCCAGGTATGCACGGGTCACGTTGTGCTCATATCTCAAACAAGGTAAGTGCAAACATACGGATTTGTTCAGATTTGCAAGCATGCAACCTGTTACTTAACTACATTAATACCTTCTCTCCTAAACCAAACTAGTATCTATATGTTTGCTTTCACGAACCTAGAATCTTTCTTTTCAGGACTCCTAAAACAAGCAGTGTCTTTGAATTCTGAAATGACACGAATATCAAGAAAGTCCACATTGTGCAAGAAAGCAGCAGCTATGTTTTTCAACTTGGACTAAAAAAGAAAAGAGAAAAACAAAAACCGTTCACTGAACAGCAGATTAGCAGTAATGTTCCTCATGAATCGATAAGAGTGCCTGATGCTGAATATCTAACAGCAAATGCTGAATTTGGATTTAATATTTTAAGGGTTTATTGGAGATTAAGCTTCTTGCTGCGCTGGTCTCTTCAAATCCCTGATCTGTTTAACTAAATAGGTCTTCTCATCATTAAATTGTTCATCCTCGGTCCTGTCATTCTGAAACTTGCTGAGGAACTCAATAAGTTTGGTCTGGTTCTTTAGAAGGATGTCTAATATAGGCTGTGTCTTGTTAGGATTGGCTACAAACACCTGCAAGAGAATACAAGGCATTTAGCATAGTAGTAGGAAACAAGGCCTAGTTAAAAAACAAACCTGGCCAACAAAAGACTGATGACCATAACTTAAAATGATGCTTTAATTATTCCGTGTTTCAGTATCTCTACAGAAAAAATAATGGCGTAAATGCAAGTTTTAAAATAAAATTACTCAATTTTTTAATGAGAACAGACACTGAACACCAGCACCAAATTAATTTAACTTGTAGGAGGCGACCAACTACAATAGCTCCTGAATAAACACTGAAGACTCCTCACAGATTATGCAGCAAGTGCATGGTTTCATATTATATACACCAAGCTCTCAGCTACTTGCTTGTCTGCTGCAAAGTCAGAAAGTATGTGTTATAATGCACAAATTACAATTTACTCTTTCAAATTTAGGTGATGACTAAAATACCGTTACCCTTCACAGATCATGCAGCACGATTAAAACACTTTTGATCTCCAGGATGCTTCATGATTTCACATGAACTAATGTATTCCTCCTTATCTTAATTCACTTCAACTTTCTTAATTCCAAAGTTTTCTGAGAGAGAAATGACAATCATATGAAGTCCCTAAGTGGTTTCTGAACAGATACCAAGATAGCTATTTGTAAAGATGGATCATAATCAAGACAAACATTAGCACTCTGTGTAATCACCTAGCAGACACTAAGATCAGCTCCATCTAGGCTCAGCTAAGTAGTTTATCCAACTAAACTTCTGGTGGGGTTCTTTTGTTGTTCGTTTGATTACGGAGATTTTTTTAAACCTACCTTAAACACATGAAAGGCCTCAAACTGAATGTTACGACTCTTGTCTCGTAGAAGGTTCATCATTAGTTTGAGATTTTCAGGTTTACTGATGTACTTCGTCATAATTGTGAAGTTGTGTCTGTCCAATAACAATTCACCAAGAAGCTAAAAGTGAAAAAGAAGCCTGCATGAGAAGATGACTGACACTGGACATAAGAAACAACTCTTTCATCAGTGCTTTCCAACACAGGGAGTAGTTGACACTGGTCTGTAAATGTAGCAACAGAACTCAAATGTCCTGAATTTCTAAGTGCAGGGTACGTTTTCTTCTTATTTCTATCATGCAGTTTCTCCTTCTTCTCAAAAAGTGAAAAATCACCTTATGTTCCCACCTTATTATGAAGTGGAAAGAAAAGTCTTTCAATCTCTGTTCCCCATTATTTCACTATTCTATTTATTTATTTATACAGAAGATATACACCACCAATGAAGTGTTAAAAAATACAACATAAAACCAACCACATGAGAAGTATTTACACTCCTTTTGCTACCTCCTTTGTCCAGAAGGGAGTAAAAGGACATTTCCCACAAGTACCACCCTTGCTACAAGTTATGGATTATATTTACCTTCACTATTTCTTACCTATTTGAACATAAGATTAATATTGCTCTAGCCACATCATGTGAATCTTTATTATAGTATTATGTGTCCAGATTTGTTGAAGGGAAAAAACAACAAAAATGAACCTACTTGCATACAGCAATTTCTACACACGGGGAGAAATGCCCAGGTGTATCCTGGGCACTAAATAATGGCAGGACTGGACAACAGAAAAGTAGCTTATCACAAGAATTAAAACATATGAAAAAATTAAAATAAACACTATCCAAGTCAGTTACTGAAGCCATTTCAATTAAAGTCAACACACCTTGAAATCAAAGGCATTCTCTACCTTTCCATTTAAGAAGAAAATAGAATTGTCTTACCTTAAGCGACTGTCTCTTTGTCACGTAATTTTCCGAATGAAGTAACTTCTCATATTCACTGAAGAACTAAACACAGAATAAAGAGAAAGGTTAGGACCTTTCCAAGTGTCACACACACTCCTCTTCCAGATGATGGTAACAAACTGGACGAGATGCAAATCCGTAACAAAAATGTAATCAAAATCTGAAACCTCAGCAACTTCCTCTAAGTCACTACTGTTTAAACATAATATATACTTTAAAAACCTTTTATTTGCACTTTTAGGAGCCTTTAATATTTATTTTGCAATGTGGTAGAAGTAGTTATTATTTCTTAAACTGCAATAGTTCCTGCTACTGAACTGTTCACTACTTTCAAGAGTCCCCAGCAGGTGGAGGAGAGCCACCTTGGGTTCTTTGGTTGTTAGGGGTTCATACAGACAAAAGAAAAAGACAAGCAAAGGGTTCCCTCTGGCGGAAAAAATCAGATATAGTTTTCACAGAACTGGATTGCTGCTGCCCTCTCGTTTTTAAACCTTTCTACGTAAAACAGTAAGGTCATGATCTTAATTTTACTACTTGGTAGAAATGACTGTAAGTTCAAGTGGTTTAATATGGTGTGTAAATGTCCAAAACCAAAGCTAAACAAGGCATGAAAATACTGATTTCTTCAAATAAGATACACAGCATTAGAAAATTCTGAATATTAAAAATGTATCTGCTCACCCTATCGTAATGTTGTTCCAAAAATTCTGCACTTAGCAACTTGTGTCTTGTAAGCAAATCCTGTAAAAAAAGCACAAAGCCAATATTACACATCATACATCCAATAGAAAATTTTGCTATTTCAGTAAACGAAGAAACTAGGACATAAATGCAGTTACCTGGACATTGCAAAGGACCTCGGCATCACTTGGGAAAGGTCTGCTATGTGTTACGTTAATTCACACAGGTAAATAGCCTGTGGAATTATCCCTAAAATTGCCATTTATGGATCAAGGCTATGCTCTGCGCAGAACTACGGACAACCAAGGTTAAAATTGACTAGATAATAGCGATCTATAGCATGCTTATAGTCCCATAACTGGTTGTTTTAGGAGAAAAAAAATTTCCCCAGACAAAGCATCAGTATCGAATGTACTCAGGTTCGGAACAGAATGAAAAACAGTCTGCTCACTCGAGGAGTCAGAGACACAGATTTAAAAGCTCCTGGCATGGAAGTGTGCATGTATTCAGTTAATACATGATAGTTTAAACTGTGCTTTCTGGAATAAAAGTTACTTGGAACACAGTCCGTATCTTTAAAGGGACATCTTGCACGCTGAGAAATGAGGCAAGAACAGGGTCCAGCTTACCCATTTGTGTCACACGTTCTTCTTCCCTCTCCCTAGGCTTGTTTTGCCCAAGAATGTAGCACACATCATCTGCGTTCATATACAGGCAGACTATAGAAATAATAATTCAAATGCTGTATATAAATTACCTTGAATGTGGCAAATGCATCTGAAGCAATGTCAAATGTTGACATTTCCACGTATCTGAAGAAATCGTAGAACTGTTCTGACCACAAGATTATTTTAGCAAGCGGTTCATGCCGGATGCATTCTCTAAGCATTATTCCACAATTTAGAGCAATTTCTGGAGATTCGTACCTATTCAAAAACAAAACAAAGCACAAAGATTCTTTTAAAATACTTTCACAAATTAGCATTGCTAGATCAAATAAACTACTTTTCAAAACATTAGAGGTACTTAGTTCGGCATTAAACTCCACTTTTAAATACTTCTGTGAAATATTACTGAAATAATTGCCAATTAAATGCCAAATTACAGCTAACACAAATGACTTTCACAAACTAAGAAACATGACTAAATAAAAATACTTTCTTCAGGCTCAGTATCAGCTTTCTCTTTTCATATTGGTGGGATTGCAGACTTCTGGAAAAAGCAGCAAGTGTTTTCTGTCCTGAAAGCTGTTTGCTTAAACATGACAGCAATTCACAGAAAACTACTCCTAATCTAAGCCTGAAGCGTTAATAATACTGGTCGTAAATTCACGTCTCCTCTATCAATAAACCATTTCTCAGCATCACTGGCTACTCCACACATCACAGGGCTTGAGCTTGAAAACTGGCAGCGGTGTCCTCTGATGGTAAGGACCATCATGAATACCTTTTCTGCACCCTTAGTGCCTTTAGCAAAGTATCTGCACCAATTGCACGGATGTGATGAAGCCATCCCTGAGGGCTTCATTTAGAAATGGTTGCTACACGTTTCTTGGCAGGCTTTCTTCCTCAAATACTAGAGGGTTCTCAGCTGGTTTTAGCATACACCGAAATCCCACAGCAGTGTGTTCAAGACATGTTTTATGTGCCGCTAGCTCCTTGTTTCCCAAGCAAGGTCACAGTTGGAACCTGGATGAAGATGAGGTTGCCTTTCCAAACCAAGAACTCATCTCACCGTGTGGCAACAAAGGCTACCCCAGTCTGCAGAAAACCTATCTGTTGTTAACTACCTGGTTCTGGAGCAGTCAAAGCCCCTCATAAACCTTCCTGCCTCCCATCTAAAGAGTCCTTCATCCCATAGCACTGGAAGCTAATTTAAATTCACCAGAATAATTCAGGAGCCAAGTTTCATTGTGCATACTAAGCATTAATTATATTACCATGCAAAAATATTTGCTTCTGAATTAATTTTCATGTTAAATCCTGCAATACTTTCCCATTTAACCTGTTACAGAGATTTGAAATCTACTGAACTTTTGCAGCTCATCCCATGGTATAAATTTACATAAATTTGGCTCCGTTGGATACCAGATGTAACATTTAAGCTACTAAAGCTAACTAAATGCCCATTTCAAACATCCTGACTTATGAATATGTGTTTCAACAACCCATGTCAGAATAATGCTCTCTTCAGAGTCACAACACAGACTAAAAATTAGGACACATGTGTTACAGCCCTCATTCAGTCACACCATCACAGTCATCAATGAGACCATGCTGAGACAGTAGTTTCATCTCTCTGCACCTCAAATGCCTTTGCCTTCTTTTCTAAACTGCTTTGAAGTGCTGAATCAATATTTCCTTTTGTGTTACGCCACAATTAATAATCTTTTTGTCCTTCTAATGTTTGAGTCTCTCTTTCCCCCAAAAATCAGGACTGAAATGCAGGGAGGGGAAAAAACCCAAACAACCACAAAACCAAAACACAGAACAACGAAGCCCGTCTGGCAGATAAGTGTAGATCTTGCACTCCTATGAACTGAGCCAAATATTCCTTACTGCTTCTGGTGCTAAACCTTTGGAGTCAGCATGAAACTAAAAGATGTCAAACTCTGACTTCCTCCACAGAGAATATCTCTTGTATGATCCATTTTCCAGGGGCTTACACAAAGGACCAAGACTAGGCAAACGTAGAGATGTTAGAAGAAAACAGCCTAATTTGCCACATATGCAGCAGGTCAGTCAGCATCTCTAGTTACTACTACAAACTAAGATGAGGGAAAAATAAAAACACAATCGTGGTTAGATGTTAATATATTTGATTATCCTCACATCTGATTGCTACCAACATAATCCGGGCAAGTATCTCACTGGGAAGCTTGGCCTTTTCATACCTCCTCTAGCTACCCTAGTAGGTGGAATCAGTACTCATCAACTGCAGCAAGTTCACTCAGCAGCTTTAACAGGTATTATAAAATAGTACTTGGAGTATGATTTCTTGATATTTGGTGAACTTTTCTATCCCAAAATAACACATTAGAATTGCAATTTTCAGAACTTTCTTAATTGATGTTATTTAATGTTTTTAAATGGAGAGAGCACATTCTCATTTTTTAAAAAAAATCTTATTTTAACATGAAAATGTTATTAACGCCTTCCTGCTTTCATGATTGAGATCCACAGCTCTACATGTGCAACTACATATTCAGTATGGCATGATTCTCCAATATCCATCACACCAGACAAGGGAAGAAGAGAGGAAGAAACGGCCATCTGGCATGTACCATATGCCCCAAATCATCCTTTGTTCGGTCAAGTCTGAGTTGGTACATCTGTGTCACTGCAGGAATATAAATCACTAGGAATAAAACGTCTAAGACCAAACTAACACCAGGGGATAGCACAGAAAACTGGAAGTGACAGTAGTTAAAGGAAAAACAAAAGCCTTTCACTCTTGAGGAAGGAGTAAGTTCAAAAGGAAACAGTTTAAACTGGATCAAATGCCCTTCTGAAAGGAAAATGTCTGCATTACCCCAAGAAAAACATTTCAGGCTACTTACAGTTCTCCATTTTCAGTCATATATCATGCAAAAGTATATTTTTGGTGTTTTATTACTTAAATTTTCCTGTACTTAGGGGAATTACAGGCCCCAAAACAAAATAAATTAAAAAACCAAGCAGTACTACACAGGAAGAAAAACCATTTCAGAACTTTTCAGCAAAAGAAGTGTATTTATGCTTCCCAGTGTACATACCCTTTTAATAGCATGAACAGTATATTCTGTTGAGTGCAGATGTATTCAACTGTGGGAGTTCTTGTACCAATTTGCCTTCTGAGAATGTTGTTGAAAATTTGCGCGACATCTTTTTTGCCCTGTCAAAAACATCCGGAGTTAAACACATAATACTCAAGTCCACTCGGCAAGTAACGCTTAAACATGATCATCATCTCATGCATTCATACCACGCAGTTCAGTCAGCCCACTCTGGTATCTTAAACAGATCAAATACTCTCCTTCTTGATACCCATTTCAAATACACCAAAGCACTCAAAACTTTACAGCGGGTTGCAGCGAGCCAGATCACAGGTGATTTACAGTAAGTAAAGCCAGTTGATGGTTCATCAGATGCTTCTATGTAGCATCAATCTCTTGGGCTTGTTTGTATACATATATATATATACATATATACATATATATTATATATATATATACTTGTTTTGGCTAACAACACACCAGTTTTTCACTCTGCTTTTGCCTGAAAGCGTGTTTCTTCAATGCTCTGTTATCCTCTCCCCCTGCCTAGGAACACATAATGCCACCCTTAAGAGTGTGCAGAGCATTTTATGACTGCAGTGTTAACATCCAACTTAAAACTACAACTGATGGAAGTTAAATAAAGAAATAAAAACTACAAAGAAAAACCATCCACTGACTTAAAATGCAAGTCTCACATTTTTCAATGGATGAAAGCAGCATAAATAAGACCAGGATACTGGGATTCAGCACAGGTTTTACATGAGAAAATGCACAAGGATACCATCAGACAGTGTAAAAAGAGCTGGGAATGTTCTCTTTGTTGGCTATATGTACATCTATTTATTTCTTCTGTCAGACCATAGCTAAAGATCACAAATTGGTACAGATAGCTGTATTATATAAATATAAGCACTATTCACTGTCATTTGCATGCACCACACATTTTGGATAGCCATAAAGAGAACTTCAGGACTAGGTGTTTTCAGATCCAATCCAGAAAAAGCCTAGGCAAATGTGTTCTAAGCCTGGACTAGCAAATAAAAGCCTGTTTAGCAACTCCACCGGAAGGTTCCCTGAATGCTATACACAAAAATCATAGGTAGCTGATGTATCTTGAGCATCTCTAGCTGTACTATAAATGCCCTGAGTAATATCAGCAAGCTTTTGAGTAAAACACAAGCCATATTTAATTAAGGAGAATATTAAACACAACAGCAATTATTCAAAATTATTTCCGTTTTCTAATGGAGAAAACTGCATTAAAAAAATCCAATGTTTATAAAAATGTTCTACAAATGGCGTGTTTGTGAATTACCACGGACAGCTTTGTTAGCGAGTGTTGTTTTCAGGATATGAGTTTGTTTGTAAACGCTTGTTTTCTCAATTACAATTCCATTGAAAGCCAGCCCAAAGCAACACCAGAATCCTTTGTTCTGAAATGAGTAGAGCAGTGTTTCCAGAAATGGCTTTACTCAAACTCCACATAATATTGTCATCAGCCCTCATTCACTAACATCGCCAATTCTGCACTGGATCTCACAGTTTGCTTTGGATTCCCCAGCAAGAACTGCATTTCCTTATTATGCACATAATTGAACTGACAGTGGTAATGCCAAAGCTGCTTATTGTTCAAATGATGTATTACCAAGTGATCTCATGGCCCAACAAGGGCAAACAGACACTGAGCCCTGTGCCGATAGTCACGACTGCAAGAGGTGAGAGGGAGACTGTGCAGTATTGTCTTCTGTGCAGAAGAATTCGGGCTCCCTTATGCAAAAGGCTTTGTTGCCTCTTGTATTTTTTCCTTTCTTTAAAAAACAAAGCAAAACAAACAACAATTCAAGGAAAAAACCCCATATCCACAAGGGATAGCATCTCTCCAACAGACACACCAGCACAAATCAGCAGGGAGATAACTGGTAAGTAGATGGTGGTGTTGACTGCTTTACTTTGAAAGCAAGCTTCCAGATATGGGTATCATTCTAAACAAGCCTTTACCATACAGCAAGGGCTGGACAGTCAGTTTCTTAATTAAAACATTAAATTTGTCACTTTTCTGGGGTGTTTTATACCATACTATTCAGATTCAAATACACTTGAGATAGCTTAAGAGCCAGAGTGAACAGTCCCTGTCTAGGAGAAGGCTGAGGGGAGACCTCATCACCACCTACAACTGCCTCAAGGGAGCTTGTAGAGAGGTGGGTGCTGGTCTCTTCTCCCAGGTGATGGGGGATAGAACAAGGGGAAATGGCACCAAGCTGTGCCAAGGGAGGTTCAGGTTAGAGATAAGGAGGAAGTTCTTTACTGAGAGGGTCGTCAGAAGCTGGAACAGGCTGCCCAGGGAGGTGGTGGAGTCACCATCCCTGGATGTATTTAAAGAGCGGGTAGACGAGGTACTTAGGGATATGGTTTAGGGGGTAGACAGGAGCGGTTGGACATGATGATCTCAGAGGGCTTTTCCAACCGAGCGATTCTGTGTGTGTGATTCTGTGTGTATTAATTAGCTATCTATTCCTGCTCTGCAAGGAAACCTTTATCAGGAATGAGAGTGAAGTTCTTGACAAAAAAAGACGGTGTCTACTTCATCGCTGAATGACCTCAAGCTGTGGCGGGGTACCAGAAGGAATAAATGCTAGACCTACTCTTCAGGTTTGAAAACCAACAGGAAATCAAGTTTGTATCTCCATCGGTAATGGAGGAATCCTTTCCAATGCAGCAAACCCTCGACCATGGGGATCTGGGATATCAAACCCAACATCTGGCAGACTTTGTAACAGCTGGGAAGCTAGCGCAGGTTTGGAGCACAGGGGTGCTGACATTAATGCCAGGTAATAACAACAGCTGAATGATCCCAGCCTTAAAAAGCAGTGTAAAAGACTTCTCTCTCAAGGGGGAACAGTCATATCCTCACGTAACAAAGCAGCAGAAAGTCCACATGCAGGAAACTACTCGCAATCTTTTCAAGTCCCCTTAGAATCAAATGAATAGTTCTCCTTAATGAGAGCAAGTCTGTACAAATTGTTATCATTCTTCATTACCAGGAGATAATGAATTATTTCTTTGCTAATAACCGGGCTGAGTAAACACCAAACTGATAAGAATCTGGAGGTCAGCAGAATTCAGATGACGTTTCACCATTTCCTTTCTTCAGCAATTACAAACCATCACATTTCAGCATTCTCTCTCAGCTTTCCCAGGTCTCCTTGCTTATTTAACAGTCTGAATGTTTTATGTTGGGTATAAACAGTCGTGTGGGTAAGGAAAAAATACCACTCTATTACAACTAAACACAAATCAGCGCGAGTTATGGGTGGGGTGAAGGGGAAAGCAGAAAGAACAGGGAAGAAAGCCATTGTTTTGGGAATGCCATACTACAATAGGACTTTAAACCGTTGTGCTTTTCCAACCGACAACTCATTTATGAACAACTCATTTATGAACAATACCGTTTTTAAGCAATCTTAAGTGGGATGGTCTATACGGTCAGGGCTGTGAAGTGAGATACATGGGTTTTGGCTCTTTTCCTAGACAACCGAACACTTCTCGCAGGACCTCAGGGAAAAGAGGAAAATCCAACTGTACTGCGATTTCTTACAACTAAATAGTGTGATTTTTCACTACGGCACTGGGAAGCTACATTATTCCATGTGATGTGGTGACAAATGCCAGGGAGATGTTTGTACAGAGACATGTTTGAATACAGATAAGTCCTGCTATTTTGAAGTAATCAAGAAAAAGGTGGGTTTGTTGGTTTTTTAACAAACAGAAAATAGATGAGGAAAACAGAAAATAGGCTGCATCGCTTATTTCTAAAGAGAGAGATATACTGGACTGTCATTAAAACTAATAGCTTTACCTTAAAGATTTTAAATTCTTCTTAAATGTTACAATAATTCTCTTACTTTTCCAAGTGATTTAATTTAATGAGATGAGACTATAGATATGCCTTGTAGTATTATAGCTTGTGTTCACTATGGTATTACTACCAAGAGATAAACCTTCCTGCGTACACAACAATTAAGAATTATTCCATATTTTTAACAGGGCTGTATCACCAGGATTAGAGGTTTATCTACTTCAATTTTGCGTGCTTTACGTGCCTAAATTAACAGATGTAATATACGATACTCGCTTCATTTTCTAGGTAGTTTGGAACAATGAGTTCTCTTTCTAATGTTTTTGTCCCAGCCAGAAAAAAAATGCTGAAGATCAAAAGATGTCTTAACCAATTAAGGTGGTAGGAATTCAGATGTGTTTGTTTTAACATATACAATACAAGATAGAACACTGCTTTTCTTACCTCAAAATCAATTAGCTGCAAGTCGGCTACTAGGGTACTAAGAAGACCACTGTTGTACAGCTCTTGAGCAAGCTGTGCCACAGCTTCTGTCTGTGGTTCCTTTTCATTTGTGCCATACAAGATCTCTTTCATGGCAACGAGGTTTTTCGAGACCTCCTCAGTGGCCTAAAGAAAATGGGAAAAGAATACAGTTAGAACACAATGTCATTTATCTGTAGTTACGTACTCTATTGTTCTTATCATCTGCAAACTTCCATGAAGGCAAAAAAACCAGGAAATGACAACCTGTTAAAAAATCAATAGATAATCTTTCTGCAAATAAGACTGTTATATGTTATTAAAATAAATGAGAGAGGCAAGACACGCAATTTACTTGACAAGCTACCAAAACTTAAAGTCTCTTCCTTTTTATTGCCTTTAAACTTCCCATTCAGAAAACCCCTACAGAACAGCAATGGGATGAAAAGAACCCGACAGAATTTCCGTTCTGTACAGCAGAGATACGCAAGATCAGATTGGAAAACATGACGTGGATACACACGCCAGGCTTCAGTGAACTGCTCAGAGAGACCAAAGGTACCCACTCTTACAGATTTTGCACTCATCAGGTTTTGTCAAATAAAATTCCTAAGCTGACATGATGGGCTGAAGCAGCATTTTGCAGTGGAAGCAGAGCTGCCTCAAGTAAAACTAAAAAAATCAATAAGAACACTTAAGAACACTCACTTCTGAATCCTAAATCACAGCTGTCCTGGAGAAAAGAGCTACTCCTTTCAATATATACGTTTATGTAGCTTGAGGGCAAAACGCTACAAATTATCATCATGAATAGCTATTTAATTATACTGTATTAGTTCTTCATGTGCCTAAAAAGTATGAATGGTTTGTAAGTGCATCAATTTTTAGTAATTAGATGAACCTGCCACAAGGTACGCATATACTTTAAAGTATTTATGATTGGTAGCACGTGGAAATTATAATTAAGTGAGAAAAGGATCACTTTGTGGATATTGCCGCTCTTACAAGGGCTATGTAAAAAGATTTCTAATTTGTGTGTTACATCTAGAGAGGCTTAAAATCAGCATGACCCATGCACTACTCAAGCCAAAGCCATTCCAGCTTTGCTAGGTATGCAAGTGAGGATTCCACAACCCTTAAGGAGGCTCTGTATCATTTTGAGCTCCTCCACAACCTTCCACTCCCTGGTGACTTCCTCTTCTTGCTAACAGCATTTCCTAGGCCCACTTGTCTCCTCCTTAATCCAAATTCCAAAGGATTTTCTGCACGCTGGTAGCAAGACAGCAAGAAGCAGGTGCTCAATAAGACTGCTTAGATTCAGGACAGCTCCTGAAGATGTCAAATGAGAAAGCCAGCTCACCATGTTGTATTAGCATTACACCACTCAACTGTTCTAATTTCTTTACCGTGCAGAAGAAATCTCTCATTACTAGGAAAAGAACGGGAACATCTGTCACACATGGACATATGCAGAGATGCCTTTGATGCACAGCTACCAAGAAAAGAGGAAGCAGCAAGAAAAATTCTACTGCAGTTTGTCCCTGCCCACTAAATTAGAAAGCAAGATGAAAGAGGAAGAAAGGCAGAGGTTCAAGTAACCACCAAGTTTAAGTAAGACAGTGGCAATACTGAGGGCATGCCTACAATTCTGAATGCCAGTGGAGAATTGTTCATACCAAAACCCTGGAAGACAGAACAACTCTCCCAAAACTCTGGTAATCACCACCAGCCCAAGAAAGATGCTAGTAATGGAAATGCTTTCAAACCAGACAGTAAAAAATACAGTGCTTCAAAACACAAACGTGCAACTCAGTAACCTCCAGAAGAGGCATCAGGACTTAAATTTATTTCTCACGCTCTTCACAACTGTCAAGGTCATCTGGATGTGCTTCACTAGGACTCAGAATGATGTATGGCTTCAATGGTTAGAGACTAGAAACACAGAGCAGCTTAGGTTGGAAGGCACCTCAGGAGGTCACCACGATCCCACCACCTGCTCAAGGCAGGGCCAGTCTCCAAGTCCTGTCAGGCTGAGGCGGCCCATGGCCAGCCCTGCTCTGAACAGCTCCATGGAGGGACACTCACAACCCCTCTCAGCACCTGGACCGGTGTCTGACCACTTTCATCAGGGAGAGACACTTGCTTGGATCACTTCAACTTAAGCCAAGTGGCAATTCCCAGACACATGCTACCAATACAGAAATAAGAGTTTTTCTGAAAGTATTATAGCAATTACCAAGGTCTTCTGATGCACTACACTTCCAGAAAATATGATGTTTCTATATTCCTTCTTCTACTCTCAAACTCAGCATCAAAAGGACTGGAAATAAACTCTTACAAACTTGTTCTAGAATCTCTCCGCTCCTCTATAGTCCATGAACTCTTGAACATACCCCAAACACATGATGTGCAGAGCTGGTTCTGCCATTTCAGATGCAGAACAGGATTTAGATAGCTGCATCAAAAAATAGAATGATACATTAAATATCAATGTTAAGAGCTACATGAAAAACTAGTGAAAATATTCAAGAAAGACTTTGCTTTACTTGCAAGATTTCCCAAGATAGTGAGACCTAATAATTCACTAATGCACTGTTTTCTTTAAACAGAGCAAAAAAAATCTCTAGAGAAAAAAATCAAAATGCACAACGAAGTTCAAGGAAAACCCTAGGACCAAAAGTGGAATTAATAATCAGGCACCATGCATTAAAAAATAATAGATCTATTCTAATGTAATATATAAGCAGGGTATATTTTTATATATAGAATATATGTACACAGAATATATATTCTACATATAGTCTAGATCTACATATTTTACATATATTAAAATTAAGAATAAATTATACCTATTCGTATATATATTTTTTATATATATATTTTTTTCCCCTCAATACTGAGAAGGAGCAACCACAGTGCAAACAGTGTCACAATTTGAACTTCAGTGATGCCAGACAATCAATACCATCTGAGGAGAAGTCAAACTACGAAAGTAAAATGTAAAGTAAGGAAAATAAAGAAAGTGCTTGTTTCTCTATTTTTATCAAAGACAGGAAGATATTTAAAAATAAAAACCAGACACCATGAAGTCACATCTATGCCAGTGGAGAATCAGCTGCATATCTTTATAGCTATGAACCATTATGGTTTATTCCAGTCTCTAGGGTATTTCACTGATATTTCCAAAATCTACTATTTCCTTTGACACTAAGCAGTAAAAACACCAAATACTTCACATAGACTTGTATAGTTGGAGTATGAATTTTGCCTTTACTTGGAGCAATAGCAGAAAAAGGTGAAGAACACACTGTCAGTCCTTAAGCAGTTACTATTAATGAAAACATCCATCAAAAAGGTACACCAGCTACAGTTTTAAGCCTGTACTTGATGAATATTTTTACTAGACTAGAGCAGTATCTATCATAAGTAACAAGCACCATTTCAATAATCCTATTTATATTGACTGGATTTCAAAATGTTCACAAGAACATACAACTCTGTCAATAGATGATTATCTACCTCAGTGCCACTGGTTTATTTTAAAGGCCAAAAATGACTGCGTTATTTTTCAGGAGACATCTAGCACGACGTTACCATTAAAGAGCTAAGTTCAATAAGAAGCAAAGCATGTCTGCTCGCCCATTACTTCCACAAAGAAGCCCAGCTTTGCCCTTGGAGTAACAGCCCCACGCTGTTCAGGCAGATGACTTCACCTTCAGCTTTTTCTCAGCCACCAATCCACTGTACACATAACTAATTTAAAATTCTACAGCTTTGCAAATGACAGTGTTAACTCACCGAATGAGATCTGATCCATGCCTATGTCAACACGCTATGATATTACATTTGGACAGATGAATCAAATCAGCACGTTGCATGATCCCGTCCATATCGTATGCTGGTAACTTAAAAGAACAGCGACTGACCATGCCTGCGATACTCAACTCGCACAGGCTAACAACGTGGCTGAAATAATTATCTGAAAACCAAAACTGGAGCTGTTATGAGCAGGTTAACCCAAGGTCACAGGGTAAGGAAGAACAAGTTTATTAAATGAGTAAATATTTACCTTCATGACAACAAATGTGTGCCACAAACGAAGTGAACTGGCAGTCTAAAAATAAATGCTGATGTCAGCGAAAGACGAGGAAGAGATGCAAATAAGAGCCTAACTAATGGGCTAGACCAAGAGTAGGTCCCCTTGAGGAACTACAAAGCGAAGGACCTTTCCTTCCTGTTCCCTTTAGCCTCCCCTTTCTGAAAAAAACACAAGTAATGGAAAACTACCAGCGTGTGTAATAAACACACTGTCAGTGATAAAGCACGTGTCAGTTCAAGCTTCCCTGCTGAAATACTATCAAGCAGCAAGCTATTGCCCCTATCCCAAGTGGAAGGCTGCAGCCCCCAGCCCCAGAGCCATGGTACCCGAGGCAGACTGGCAGCAGCGAGACACAGCCCAGCTTTGACAGCCACTTCAGATCTCCGTTCCTATGCAGGTACCACAAACTTAGAGAACATTTCAAAATTCCCTGGAGAATTACCTGGTGAATTTTTCTCCAGTATTCACAGAGCTCAAAAAAAACAGGTAGGTTAACATGCAACTAGAATTCACTTTTAAAATTTCAGGTTTTTATTTGTAAATCAAGTTTTCCAGTATTACAGGGCAGAATGTTCCATAATTGAACAAGATACACCGTGACTGTTACATCGTGGGGTTTTTTCAGATGTAAAACTTTAAAAAGAATTCTTTAAAACATCTTTTGCTTTAAAGAATCTCTTCCATTTGGATTAAAAAGGACGTACAGAATGCACACTGTCCAAACTTTAAAAATCTTTCTTTCTTTGCTGCTGCTTCCTCTCACAAAACCTTAAAGGTTTTAAATTTCAGTCTAAGCACTGAAGGACACTGAGGTATTCTGTTCAAACATCGTTAATTAAACTTTTAATTTCTACAGAAAAGGATTTGCCTAATTTTCTCACAAATCTCTATTACAAAGCATGCTAGAAAACTAGTCAAAGAGCATCCTCTACATAGCAGAAAACTAAATATTTTCCTAACAGTGCTGTGCTGCTACTGCATGGTAGGAACTACAGTGTATGATGTATTAGAAGCAAACCCAGTGTGGTACTGCAGTAGGAAGGTACTAGTTTGTCTTTGAAACCTCAGCCAGCCATATGGTATAAAACAAAAGGGGCATTTACAAAGAACTTCCTTTTATAGAATAAATACTTAAAAGAGTGATTAAATTTTGAAACATTAAGCTCATTGCAACACGTGCAGAACTTCTTTTTAGTCTCATCTACATGCACGTTTCAAATTCCATACCTTCAAGAGGAAGGAAAATACGCAACTGCGTGTACTTAATTTAAGAAACAAAGTAGTGCAGGAAAAGGAAGTTTTCCCTGCGCCCAACAGGGTGTCTCTACCACAAACAGTAATCAACACTGAATATGTACCATGCTGCTTAGCCTTGCAAGTTCATTTCTGTTATTTGACAGGCTACAAAATCATACCCCTGGATGAAACAGCAACAATGAAGCAGAAATTACTGTGAGAGAGTAAGAGAGACACTGCATTTTATAGAAGTCTAATCACTAACGAAATGGAGTTATCAAAACGCTTGGGCATTCTTCTCCCCTTTTCCTAAAGGGTAATGATTGTTATGCTTCATGTGCAGTGAGTTGCTCTATTTCTGCTTCTATTGGCCACAGCACTCAGCCTTTCAGCAACACGGAATTGTTCTCCAAAGGAGGCTGGAAAGTTACACTGCAGGAAGGATCATCATAATAAAAGGTGCAGTGAAAGAGAAAAGCATGCCTAAATACTGAGATATGGGCATGTAGAATTTTTACTTCTTTTTTAACAATGGCTACACAGACCCTCACTGTCTTTTTAACTCCAAAGTTACTGCAGTCATTTCTACTGACTGGACAAGAGGGCACAAATTCAGGGTGTTTAATCATAGCAGTACCCTCAAAGATGTGATGACTGGTCTGCAAGATACTGAAGACATTTCTCTACCAAACCAGCAAGCACTCTGTGAACCCAAGATAAACTGCTACAACCACAGTCACCTTCATGGAGCAAGTCTTGGCCTGCCAATGAAACAACTCTTCCCTGAAGAACAACTCCTCCCCGCATGGAGATGTGGGCACTGGTGTTGAGAAGGTTCAGATGCATCACCGGGTCTCCTCTGTGAGTCACAAGGATGACAGAGGCCAGCACTGCCATATCCAGCTCAGTCTTGTGTCAGTATTTAACCCTCCTCATGTTTAACCTCTTGAACATGGGTTGCCTTCTCATCTCCTTCCAGCAGAACGTGCTGCTTTCTTATATGACACGAGAAAACTCTACAGGCTTAGTATATTATTTCATGTCAAAGCAGCAGACTTGCATCAACAAGGTCTTCAAAGAAGATCGAGTTATGGGATTAAAGGCCAGCAAGAAGAAAATGGTACATAATAATCTGCAGCTACAGCATCAAGAACACAGGCGGGCGATGTAGCGCACAGCTACACACAATGGAATGAGGCTGGCCTGCTCCCCGCTAGAGGTCTAAGCAAAAAGAAAAAGATGACACCAAAAAGCGCACATCTCCAGGAATTAATAATGAGGCTGAAATGAGGGAGGCAGTGCCACATCTCATCACAGACTCTTCAGAATGCACCTACCCCTCCTCTCCTGACAGACGACTTTATTAGAGAAAGAAAAATAAGCAGCAGCAAATTAAAGTCATCCCGGCTTCCATATAGGCCTGCATAATAGGCCAGAACATTCTGACCAAAAACAGGGAAAAACTATCAGGGAAAAACACTATGCTACGCTGCAAGAGAGCTGGAACACACCACGTGCTGGCATTGGGGTACAATATGCTGATTTTAAAGAGTAACGGGATAAAGATGGCAATTCAGTTAAGACTATAAAACCCAAAAATAATTCCCAATTGATTCCATTTCAACAGCAAGAGTTTTTTTCCCCCTTTTCAATTACAGTTTAGCAATTGGAAAGTCCCAACTGTACCTTTTCTGCCTTTTTGTCAGAGATATCTTGCTTCTCTAGAACTGCCATACTTTCCTTCAGGTTCTTCACTATGTCTGCAGGAGACTTGTGGGACTTGCCAAAAGGGAATGGCATGATTGCAAGCCACAAGGTCTTCGTTCTACAGCTCCTGCTTCACCTGGAAAAAGAGGAGAAAAAAAACACAGGTCAAAAATAGAAACGTAAGGTCAGTGTAGCAACAAGTATGAAGACCAAGAAAGAGTAGCAAAGGTATTTGTACGTGGAATAACCATCTTTGACAGCTGAACTAGAGCTTGCAATGACAAACTTAAATGCCTATGTTTCTGTTAAAACACAAGACACAGTATCTAAGCACTCATATTAAGATCATTACCTTATGCTACATTAATTATATCCAAAGCCCCATAATGTACGAATGCCGCATACGGGCAAGGCTAACAAGGGTAAACTATTCCAATTAAAGCTGTCAAGCAAAATGCCTTCTAATATTATGTCTTTGACACGCAAGACATCACATCTCAGCTCTCTGCAGTGACTGTCCAGGTACATGCTTGTACCCATACTCGTTCAATAAAAATGCAATGTTCACAATTGCGTCCAGTTCTGGGACTCCCAACACAGGAAGGCCATGGAGCTGTTGGAGCGGGTCCAGGAAGCCACAAAGATGATCAGGGGCTGGAGCACCTCCCCTATGGGGACTGGCTGAGAGAGCTGGGGCTGTTCAGCCTGGAGAAGAGAAGGCTCCGGGGGGACCTTATTGCAGCCTTCCAGTTCCTGAAGGGTCCTACAGGAAAGCTGGGGAGGGACTTTTCACAAGGGCAGGTAGCGACAGAACGAGGGGGAATGGTTTTAAACTGGAAGAGGGCAGATTTAGACTGGATATCAGGAAGAAATTCTTTACTGTGAGGTGGTGAGACACTGGCCCAGGTTGCCCAGGGAAGCTGTGGGTGCCCCCTCCCTGGAGGTGTTCAAGGCCAGGTTGGGGCTTTGAGCAGCCTGGGCTGGTGGGAGGTGTCCCTGCCCATGGCAGGGGTTGGACTGGGTGAGCTTTGAGGTCCCTTCCAACCCAAACCATTCTGTGATGCTATGAATGTAGACCCCAAAGCCTGCGCCTTGGTGCAGGAGCTACGTGCACGATGCAGACAGGGTCACAGAGAGCAGCTTATTCCTATGTCAAAACACTTGCTATGTCCTGGCTCTTTTGTATCAAGGTAACTGTAACTTCATACTGAAATACAGTCTCACCCTCCACTCATTTTGTGGGAAACATCATTTGCACAAATAACAGGGATATAAAAAAGGCACTTGAAAACATTAAAAACCAGACACCTGATACATATCTTTTTCAAAAAGATAAAACCTGTCTTAAGGGAGCAATTTTCCTTCCCTAAAAATATTTGGCTCTTGAACTCAAATATATGTAAATATACAGAGAAATGAATGTATTTGTTTTTACACACACATTATATACATTCATTTCTTTGTACAAAAGAAAAAAGTATTATTAGTACAAATGAGTATACAAAGGTTTTACTACTAAACACACACACAATAACAAAAACTTCTCTACAAGTGAATTCCATAAAGCAGATTTCTAGAACTCTGATCTAGACAGAAAAGAACAGGAAATCCTGCATTAAAAACGCTGACAGTGCTACTTCTGCTAGACACAAAGGACAGCTGAAGCTGACAGAGCGGAGCTCACACTGTCACTACAAAGAGGGGATATTACCCTGAAAGTCAGTCATTTCTGTCTCCATGCAAAGCCCATAGCAACAAGGCAGCTATAACCAGTAGATGCTAAAAGTTTATCTAACGCCACGCACTTTGATCCTTAATTAAAATACCAGCTCATTCACCATTAACTCCAAAATGTTAATCCTGACCTTATTCAATCATGTTTTGATCAAGGATTAAAAGCACCAATTTGATGCTACTCTTGAGTTCTTTTGATTTTTAACACAAGCAACTTGGGCTGGCCAAAGAGCAACGCTATAAAGGTGAAAACCAGAAGTACTCAGGTCTTTAGCCAAGAACATGTCCGTAAATAGGTATTTCAGGTACCCAGCCATGGCAGTCATGGCTTCACTACCACAGCAGGTAACAAGCGTAAGGTAGGTAGTTTTTAAACAGATTACTTTCAGATAAAAGTATCAGCATGAAGGTTGAAACAAGACCTTCCACCAGCCAGTTCTGTTCTTTAACAGATCACAAGGACTTCCTGTTGCTTTGATTTTGTAGTACAGTAACTGTCTCATTGCAGGAATCTCTCATTCCTAATGTGCAAAAAGGAGGGGTTGTAACACTGAAATTACAAATGCAGGCCTGGTACCCCAAGAGATAAAGAAGTGCCCATGGGTCATTCCTTAGACAAGAGAATTTTAAGCCTCAATTTTGTCACATGTAGCAGAAGAGAAACCTGTTTAAGAAAAGCATCGCTACTTGTTGTTATTTAATGAAAGCGTAACGGCACTTAAAACAATGTTTAATGAAAATTACAGTATTTTCACACAGGATTTGTTTTTCCAGAAGAGACAGGTGTGAAAACAAGCACAATATCCCTACAACACAGATGACACACCTCGAGCATCACAGCAACATTTGAAATATTCCCTTTATCTTTGCCTTTGATTACTACTCCTGCCAAATTAAGATGAGCCCCGAACACAAAGCTGGATCCTTTCATGCTCGCATAGCATCGCTGATAAAAATAGTATTTAACGACTACTCAGCATATTCATTCTGGAAGATGGCTATGACCACATTACAGAGTGGGACCGGCTCGAAAAAGTCGCTGGTCTTAATTCCTTGGATTATGTGTTAAAACAGAATAAAATCCAGCAGGAGCCACAGTTCTTGGAGACAATCAAAACCACAAAATAGGGTATTGCAGTAATATACAACCACAAACATGTCCCTGCACATGCATTTTCTGGATCACAACTATGTTACTAAACTAAAAGACTACATGGCTAACATCTGTAACATATAGGAGTGTAGAACAACTGTTTTAATTGTGTGCCCACTGTCTAGGTTTGCAGAACTTGATTACCTTCAGATAGTGCTCGATTTCTTCTTTAAATTAAAAATAGTCCACCACTTCAACCTGTCCATGAGACCTTCTAGGTTCTGCATAAATCAGATGCATTTACATGCATACACAAGTCATACAAAAGTTCTATTGTATCTAATAGAAAAGTATCAATTAATAAAAAAATCACTGGCATATATTTATACTAAACATTTTCCCCAATTCAGGTAAGTTCCTGTAAGAAATTCTCATAAGCAATTCAGAAAATTGAGGAAAGGCTGTCAGCACTCGGTAAGAAGAAAGTCCACATCCTTGATTACTGACGGTGACATTTTGCTTCAAGAGTTTCATTCATTATATGAAATGGGGAAAAAACATATTGTTTCTGCTATTTTAATTTTACTACTGGAAGGAATGCAGTGGTGGGGCTGGGAACATCATCTGGGGCCTCAAGACTGAAGACCCCACCAACCCTGACGCAAAACTATTACTGAGGAACCTGTGCCACATCCTGAGAGGGGGACAAAACAAATAAATTAAAGAAAAAAAAATAAAGCAAATGCAGTCCTTTGTCTCTCAGAGCAAGAACATAGAGAGGCTGTTCTCTTTTCAGCCCAGCAAAACTACCCCAAGCAGTACAACAGACAATGACAACATCTGTGCGGGATCGGAAAGAATTGCGACCCCCACATCTGCAGAACGAGGAAAAAAAAGGAAACATCATCAAATGGCATTTTCTGTAAATAAAACCTGACCTTACGTCATGTCAAATGATAAGTGCTCCACGTTACTAGCACCTGGTTGCACTGCAAATCTGTGATGAAATTTGGACTGTGGCTTAAGAAAGGGATCGCAGCGCTCTTGAAGGGTTAAACTGCAACAAGTACACGGACAGCTCTGTGCTCTGCTGCTCTGCTTTACCTTGCCTTCCTAGAAACCTCGCTGCTTTAATCCATTGTTAAACAGACCATGAACTATATGATATAAAACTCGGGCTTTCTTCGGCATGCATTTTATTTCACCGACACTCAAGCATGCCAAGCCAAACAAAACTTAAAGCCCTTAAAGCACTGGTGTCACGGTCACATTTAGAAATCTTCAATGACCTTACAAATCCAAAGGGACTGCCAAACAACAACGTGGCACGCAGCCAAACACCCAGAGATTGCAGCACGCCTGACACAGAGCGACTGATACACACTCGGGCACACTGGGACATTTGGGCTTTTGTGATAACAAGAGATAGTAGCCCCACTGTTTCACATAGTGTATCATTTCCAGCTCTGTCAATGCAGCCTGCATCTGTGCACAGTTTGCTTTATGTATAAGGCTTTATATTTTTTATTCACTGCATTGACCATACGATCAATTAATGCCCGATTTAAAGCTACCGCGTTTCATATACAACATTGCTGTTTGTTGGTTTTGGTTTGGTTTTAACTAAGCAGGTAACACTGAAAAACGTTTCTTTGTGGGGACAACCCTCTTCCCAAAGAAACTGCTTCAAGAACAAATACAGGAGCATGACAGACAAATCTCTCTTAGCAAATTTTAATTCTCTACAGAACAGATTCACTAGCCTACAGCATGCTCTGTCTCGTAACTGTCAACTTCTTATTTGAAGGATGAGAAACCATGCTATGTGACAGGAGAAATACGTGCTACAGTGTAAACCCTGATTACTTGACAATAGGGGCTTTTTGGTGGTGGTGTGTGGTTTTTTGAATAAAGCATATTGTAAGATGCCTGCGTGACTATTTTCAAGAAGAATACCGCTACAGGAAATGTACAATAACGCTCATGACTGCAGGGACATGTGCAAAGAGTTATTCCACCGACAAATGAACTACACCGAAGTCTCTGTGATGCAGGCTTTTAAGGCAGTAACAAAGGTAAAGGAATAGTAGCTGTATAAGCAAAGACACAAAAGCAAACTCAGCACTTCTGCTTATCACATAATTACCACAACATAAAGTACAATCCTTAAATAATGCATCAAATGAATCCAAATATTCACACTACTTCAGCTCAGTAGAGCCAACATCTGCCCTTCCTCCATGCAAAATGCTACTAAAACAACATACAAAACCCCTACGTTCCCAATTTTGTGGCACAATCAGGTATAATAA